CTGGATTGTGGCGATCGAAAAACTGACATGTGATTCAACTAAATGTTGAGAAAATTGATGCATAGCCCAACCAGAATGCATTTTTGGACGTTGAGCTGTGAATTTTTGACCTCTTCTCTCTATGTGGGTCTTAATTGCCGGCAAATAAATGATTCAAAAATAGATTATTGTGTACAAATAATTGGAAACAAATAGGGGCATAATTTATATTTGATAACTAATATTTTACATGCAAAATATCGTATAGACCTTTGATTTATCAAAACCAAGATACATGCATACAATTACGATCAAATCATGGTTTACTGAAACTTGGAAAATAGGAGATGAAATGAACAAAAATGTACGATTGCAAATCTTCTTAAGACATTTTGCTTCCTTAGTAACATAATTAAATGTGCTTTTATGTCTCAAGATACTATGCTTCTTCAAAAATTAATATAATATAATATTAATTTTATCGGGTGAACTAAAGTGCTAACAGTATTTTTCACGAATAATGTTAAATAGAGATGATTTTTAAATGTACGAAACATATATTGCATGTTTAACTCCATTTAGCTTGACGCACTTTATGTGTTACCTAGTGGCACTTTATTAAAAAAAATTATTTTTTCCTTTTTTTAAAAACCTTTTATTTGAAATTAGTTTATTATTAGTTTTTAATTTTTTCCTTTTTTAATTTGACTTTAATTTCAAGTTCTTAAATGACTTTTGATTTAAAAAAAAAATAAAGAATGACTTTATTCGATAAAGAGTTGGATAAGATTTAAACTACAATGCTATTTACATTATGTAATTATGATTTTGAGACGTATTGTTTTGTTGAAAGTTCGAAAGTATGTATAAATTTTCTATAAATCTTGTAAGTAAAACTTGTCTAATTGAAAGTTGAAATGATGAAAAAAAAATCTAATTTTGCATTTTGAAAGCTTGAAAATTGTAAAATTGGCTAATTGTAGGAATTATTTAGTAAATATAATATTTTATAATTTTTTAATGTTTAGTGTGTATTATTTTAAGTATTAAACAATTTTTAGGATGATTAAAAATTAAAAAATATTAAAATAAAAAATTACTCCTAGGCCTAGCCTAGGCTCATAAAGTTACAAATTTGACCTCCATGCTCATTAATCATGCTTTACACTTTTTAAAATCACTGCTACTGTTCGATCAAAACTTAATGGCAAATCAATCCCTATAGCTATAAAAGTTTGATTTTTCAATTTAAAGTTGTTATCCATTCTAATAATTTGAACTAGGGCTGGGCAATTATCTCAAATCGAACCCGATGATTCTTGTCAAATTAAATACCCGAACGGATATCTAAATTGAGAACCGACGGGTACGATTCGATTCTCGGTTCTAGACCAAGAATCGAATCTTTCTATTTTTTTTATATTGAATAAATCAAATTATCTTAATTTTAATTTTTTCTAAACAAATTAAAAATTTCTAAATCCAAATTTTTGGCCCAATAATTTGTTTCATTTCTAATTTTTTAATTTTGGCCCAATTACCATTTTATTGTTTCATTTCTTAGCCCAACAAGATCCAACCTACTAAATAATCCTAAACACCTACACTGAAGTGCATAACAATGTCTCGACTCTCACAACCTCGCTTACATTCCAAAACCTATTCAATTGCTGACCAAAGCTTTGACCGTAACGATCATTTGAACCAGGTAATCTACTAGTCTCTGACATTCCAAAACCTTTGAATGTATCATTAGTTGTATTTATATAACGTTGTTATAAATGTTAAAAAGAATTAATTATAGTACGGAACCGAACCCGAACGGTTTCACAATTATATTTGGACCCGACGGTTCCATTTACTAGATACCCGAAAATTTTGATTCGATTCGATTCTCTTTAAAATCGGATCGAATCAACCCGCGCCCACCTCTAATTTGAACGTCCAAACAAAACCAACTCCTTTCTCGTTTTTCGAAAAATCACCAAGTTTTCAAACTAATTATGCTCTATCCTTGTCATGCACTAGAATTAGTGCTTAACAAAAAACACTACAAAAAAATATCCAATTCACGATAAAATAAAATATTAATGCATAAATAGAAATTTTATTATAAAAATAATTTAACAATAACTTGATGTTTGTTGCGAGCATTACCACGTTATATGAGTTACTAAATGTATTCTATCACAATTTTTAATTATTCAATTTTCAGCTATTCATTGTATAAACAAACTCGCAACAATATATATATTTTTACTTACGCAGATAGTATGAAAAACAACAAAATATTTGTTGACATAATGTTGTCGCAACGCGTATATAGCATGAAAAATTAAAGTGATGACAAGTCAATTTGTCGGAAAGATTATTTTCAAAAAGCTTCTGAGAAATTAATATTTGTTGTGAATACTATTTTAAAAGTATAACATTTGTTATCTATTCCATTTAACAAACATACTTGTCATATTATACATTTTATAACACGACATGCACTACTAAAAAATAGAGTTTCAAGCACGGATTTTCCGTTTCTAAAGCCTCAATATCCATTGCTAATAATCTTCACTAACGGAATATTTGCAACCACAAATCCGTTGGTAATTTGAGGGTCGCTGATAGTTACCAATGGATCATGCCGTAGGTAAAGAATAAACATTTTATCAATGAATTTTCTGTTGGTAAAGTGTGAATCTTTTACCAACGAAATTTTCGTTGGTAAAAATCTTAACCTATACCAACCGACTTTCCGTTGGTAAATGTCTGCCATTATAATTGGTAAAAATCAATATTGTAAATAACCGTATGGTAAAAAAATTATTTATTTATTTATTTATTTATTTATTTATTTATTTATTATTATTATTATTATTATTATTATTATTATTATTATTATTTATTAATTATAATTTTTTTTTAAAAATTTTTAGCCAACTAAATTGAAAGGCCAAAATATTGTTTAACTCCTTATTGGACCACAATTTATAGAGGACAACTACAAAGATATTGTTATAAACTTCCAATGTGGGATAAATGAATTATTTTTACCAACGGATAATCCGTTTCTAATTACCAACGGGATATCCGTTGCTGAAAGATCAAAATGTTAAACGGTTATATTAGGAACGAAATATCCGTTGGTAAAGAGATATCATTTTTACTGACGGATAATCCATTTCTAATTACCAACGAAATATCCGTAGGTAAAAGATCAAAAGTTAAACGATTATATTAGGCACAGAATATCCGTTGGTAAAGAGATATAATATTTACCAACGAAAAATTCGTTGCTAATTATTGTAGTTAAAAGTGAATTACTTTTACCAATGGATAATCCGTTTCTAATTACCAACGGATGCAATCTGTTGGTAATATTCGGACATCACCTACGGAATATTCGTTGGAGGAAGATCCAAATGTTAAATGATTACATTAGGCACGGAATATCGATTGGTAAAGAGATATCATCTTTACCAACAAAAAATCTGTTGTTAATTATCGTAGTTAAAGGTGAATTACTTTTATCAACGGATAATCCGTTTCTAATCACCAACGGATGCAATCTGTTGGTAATTTTCCATAGGTGAAAAACTATTATTTAGTAGTGATGTTTTCGAGAAATTTATTTTGTAATGCGTTTGATTCGTTGTATAACATATATTAAGATATTCAATGTTCATAGTGCAATTTATTATGTAGCAAGTTATGTTTGTAGTTAAATTCATTTGGCAACATAGAGTATTTGTCACAATATCATTTGTGCAATGATGTATAGTTGTCGACTAATTTATTTTTTGATTATTTATATATGTTGGTATTCTATTTTACAACATAGAAAATCAATACACAAATTACTTTGTGGCAATGGATAGTCTCTTATGTGACAAGTTGTGTTTATAGCTGAAGTTATTCCAAAGAGAGTTTATCTTTCAATAACGATAAATTTTCAATTTCTCTCATCAAAATAGAATTGTTATTGTTGCACACATTTATTTTTAAGATGTAACTTACTTCATTAAAAATAACTCTTATTTCGATAAAAGGAATGTTTCAACGTGCAATTAATCAAATATAAAGTATTCCAAAATATATTAAAAAATGATATCATTATCTTAAAATTGTAATATTAAAGATCCTCAATCTCTTATAAACTCTTAGTAGATGCATCATCTGTACTAGAATCTACATGGAAAAAATGTACTTAATCATTAAAAATAAATGACAAAGACATTACATGAAAAGTGTAGGGAATATGATTTGTAAACACAAATACCTAATACACGTAAGTTTTGATCTAGCACCAACTGGAGTAGGGGCAATTGTTGTCGAACGACTATCTAGAAATTCCCTCCAATGACTTAATGAGTTCAAGAATGAAATTATTTTTATAATTTGAACTACATCGAAATCTTGTCAAGTTTCTAGGATGTTGGCATGCTGCGTTCAAAGAGAAGAAGAGGTGTTGATTTATGAATACATATCTAATGGAAGTCTTGACTTGATTCCATTTGATAAGAAATGTCCACTTCACACAATTAGCTCAATTGCACTTTCTATTTGAAGGTTTTAATGCGTACTCAAGATTGACTATGGACTGAAATTCACGGTACGAGAAATATAATTATTTGCATTTCATATTGTTATTTGTATAATTTCTTATATTGCTAATTGATTTATTTTATGGTAAGAAAATTAGACGTCTTCATCATATTCTCGATTCAATTATTCCGTGCGTACAGAACAATGTTTCACAGGAAAATTCCATCCCATGTGATTAAAATACCCACCCACTCCCCAGTATGTGTGACCTGTAAATGACTTGTGAAGGTACCCTTGTACAGCTCTCTTCTGGATTTATACAAGGTTGAATGACGAGGAGGTAATAATGTTTTTCTTTCGATGAATAATTAATGTAATATTTATTTCTTATTACATGAACCATCTTATATAATCTCAGACTCTAACATGGATGCTCAAAAAGAATGGAAATTAATATATGGAAAATCAGTGAAACGGTAGTAACAGATTTTCCCTCTCAATTTAATACCCGTTATTCCACATCCTCTCCCATATTTTTTCCATCTCCACGCTCCACAATTTTTCAGTGTTCCTTTTCATTTTCTTAGTAAAAAGTTCTTGAAATTTTTACCAACGTCTCTTTCAAATTCATAACTCTCAGGTATTCAAGAATAGGGAAAAATAAAATAAAATTGGTAGAGGGAAGTAAGAGCGTGGAGTGATTAATTAGTGTTTCTCGAAAAAAAGACTCAGTTGAATCTTCAAGAACCGCCGCTGACACCACTGACCATCTCCCTTCCGAAATACACGAAAATACTCCAGTCTTTTGGTATATCTACACACGCCATGACTTTTTTTATCAACTTATGTGAGCTTGGTTATGGGATATGAATTTAAGTTTAACCTGATGTTTAAAGATGTTTCTTTATGGTGAATTTTGATGTTTCTTATAAGTTTTTCGACAGATTTTCGATTGGGGCAGCTCGCCAATCTAATATTTTTTTTGATAAACTGTACAGGGCGGAAGTTATTTTTCTAAATAGTAGTTTCTTGGATTACTGTTTTGGGATTCTGATTTCTGTGGTCATTTTTTATGGGTCTGGTTTTTCTATTTGCACAGATTAATACTGATTTCAATAAGTATATATTATCCACTTTCTGAGTGAAATCTTTACCAATTTAGATCAAGATAATTGCACAAGTATCGATGTGAAACGCGATTAAAATGACGCTGAGATACTCAGTTTAGTGTTGATCAGTGACAAGTTTCTTGCGCCGAAATGACTTTCCCCATTCTGCATCAATACTAGGTAGTCTAGGTTATGAACTTTGATGCAAGATGTACTACAGAAATTTTCCTGTGAAACTTCCCAACTTCTTCAAGAAGGAACCTTCTGATCCTGGTGGCGGTTTCATACGTTGCGACTGTGCATCTGTTTGTAGGAACCGGTAAGGGAAATGAAAGCTTTGCCTGTTTTAATTTACACATCCAATGTACAACTCTGTATTTGCTTTCCTGCAGTGACTGTCTATGCTTTACTGCTTCGAAGTTTTGTACGAATTCTTGTACTTGCCATTTGTGCATGAACAAACCTCGACGTCAAAATCGTCAGCACATCAATGAGCATCCTGCATATAATCGTGGCCGATGGGGAGGTATTTGCATTATGATCTTAAAAAGTCTATGATTTATACATAATATCTTGAGTAGTGTTTATGATTGATACTTGTCCATATGAGGATCTCTTAGAGTGAATTTGGTTTGTCATTTTGATGCCATTTTCAGTTTCCAATTTTCGAAAACACTCAAAACGTGTTTGGTCTATTATTTTCAAAAATGCTGTTTCAAAAAGAAGGAAAATTTTATAATATAAAACTCAAAACGACTTTTTGACGTTTTGAGTGTGTTCACAAAAAACACAAAACAAGGAAAATGAGCTTAAAAATTTTCGGAATTAAAATAATTAATAAAATCACGCAAAACTTGCTGAAATACAAATACCCCCCTCCCTTTCCCTCTCCCTCTCCCTATCTCTATCTCTCTCTTCCCATGCTCCTCCAAAATATTATAAAACTATTTCTAAATTTTTTAAGCCAAACACATCTTCTAATTTTGTTTTGAGAAACAGTTTTTCAAAATGACAAACCAAACATTTTATCTACTACCTTAAAACAAAAACGCAAACCAAACGCACCCTAAGTTTTTCGAAACTTGATATTTGGAAATGATTAAGTTTTCCGTTCAGAATCTTGAAGATGCTGACGTTTTGGATGGTAGGTGGAAGTCAATCAGACTGTTATTCGGGGGTTGAAGATGAAGAAGAAGACGACACATATTGGGAAGATTGGTGTAGAAAGACGGAAAAATACTCTCATTGGAAAACCACTGGGAGTAAAGATGTTCCATGCATTAAAACGAAACAGCGAGAAACTTCTCCCAAGGAATCTGTTGGTGAAACCCCAATGAGGAGTCGTACAAAGAACTATAAATCTGAAAGGAAAGAGTATACCAGCTTAGAAGAATCTCCTATCAGTAAAAGGAAAGAAAACAAGTCTAAAAGTAAAAGCAGCACCTCGAATAAAAGGAAAAAGAAAGAATAGTGGGAAGATTAAGGTAGATCATGGACCAGAGCCACCACCAAATCCTAAAACAAGGAGGGAGTTTCACCTCCTTGTGAGCATTCACCTTTTCATTTCTTCATTACTCTGTTTTCTCAATGTTATTGGTTGTCGTTTGATATTTTACATAGGTCACTATCAGCAGACAGCTTTATGTCCATGGGAACTGTAAGTAAAGTAAAAATTGTGCCAGGTATAAAATGTTTACCTTAATGAAAGTGGCACACTCTTCTTTAGATGGTGACCTATAATGAGGTTGTTTAAAACTCTCGACATCCAACGTAATTGCATCTTATTTTTCGGTTGTCGAGGTTCTATTGTTGCTACTTATAATGTTTGTTTGATGTCTATTGAAAGCTTCTGCTCTGTTTTTATGCTCCCCGTTGGATGTCTTCGATTAACCTTCTCACTACAAATATTCATGATTCTATTCTTTGAACATCAGGTACATTAGTTATAGATAAAAACAATGATTATTTTAGTAATAGGAAAAAAAGCTTTCTGGCTTCATTTCTTAACTTGCCAAACAAACCCTTAACCAACTGGCTTCACAGAGTAGCGAAAACAATGCAAGCGTTTGAGATTATATGGAATTTTTATTATTAACTTAAGAAAGTTTAATGGAGTTTGAAATGATTGTATTATTAATTTTTGACATTTGTTACTAAAGATATTTCATAGTACAATCTTTACATGGGGAATGATAATTGACTAAAATTCACTATAAGTAGATTTAATTCTAAGGTTCAAAAGCTAAATCCCCTCTCATAATAAAAAATAGGTTGATAAGAAAACTCCCTCAATTTGTTTTGAATGAAAAATTCTCGTGTTTGAAATCTATCGGACTCAAAGACTTGCCTTCGTTCTGAATACAATTGCGCAATGATTATTTTAGTAATAGGAAAAAAAGCTTTCTGGCTTCATTTCTTAACTTGCCAAACAAACCCTTAACCAACTGGCTTCAGAAAGTAGCGAAAACAATGCAAGTGTTTGAGATTATATGGAATTTTTTTATTAACTTAAAAAGTTTAATGGAGTTTGAAATGATTGTATAATTAATTTTTGACATTTGTTACTAATGATATTTTGAGTACAATCTTTACATGGGGCATGATAATTGACTAAAATTCACTATAAGTAGATTTACTTCTGAGGTTCAAAAGCTAAATCCCCTCTCATAATAAAAAATAGGTTGATAAGAAAACTCCCTCAAAATTTGTTTTGAATGAAAAATTCTCGTGTTTGAAATCTATTGGACTCAAAGGCTTGCCTTCGTTCTGAATACAATTGCACCAAAACTGTGAGGAACGAGACATGGTCATAGTGTCACTTCTCTTTGCTTTCTTTGCCATTTTCTTGTTACTTAGAATCACTTGGAACCAGCATAAGAAGCTCAGTGTCTGAGAATGGAAGGTGAATAGGTCTGAAGGTTGAGCAAGTCGTCATATAAATGTGAAGAAAGTAACAGAGACTTAGAAAAACTCGAGATCTTCTAAATCAGTGATTTACATGTGCTGCACATTACGTTTAAAGTTACTAATTGCTATTCATAAGCAGTGCTTATCGATCATCACATCACAGAGTATAACTAAGTAGTTAATAATAAATGGCATTATTCATTGAAGTTTATTGTGTGTCAAGCTAGTAAAGGCACTGTGTGGGCTAAGGAAACAAGCTTAGAGCATGTTTGGATTTTCTTAACAGCCAGAGGAAGTCGCTCCCTTTGGCTTTTTCAGTCAGTATGAAGAGATTACTTCCCAATAAAACATAGGATTAGATCTTAGCCCGTCTAAATATGAAAACCAGATTACCATTGGAGAAAACCAGAATCTCCATCAGTAGCCGAATTTAAGCTAGCTTTCATGATCTTTTTCATCAGCAAACCAGCCTTTTCTCGAGCCTTTCCCGAGCCTCTCACTGAAATATCTGCCAGCACAGACGAAAATTCTGGCAGCCTTAAAGCTTCTCTCAGGCACCCTTCACTGTCATCAAACAACTGCAGAAGAATTTCTGCAGCCCCCTCCTTACTCAACATGCTCCTTCCTTTTAAAACTTCCAGCATTTTTCTTACTATTTCATCCGTTTTCCTTAAAGCAGTTAATCCTTCATCGAACCTGGCGAGTAATCCTAGGATTGTCAAGGAAGTTCCAGAAAGATCCTCTCCTTCAGTGCTTTCGGCTACTTGGACCAGCACGGGAACTGCTCCTGACTGAACTGCCACCGTGCAATTCCCGTGAAACTGCACGAGCTCGGCCAATGTGCTGAGCAGGTGATGAGCCGCAGGATTTTTCGGTCGGGAAATTGCTTTCACCAGAACCTGAATGGTACCTGTTAAAAGATATAGAAAGATTTTCATCATTTGACAATACTTAGTTGGCCTAGGTGTTAGTTTTCAAACATGTACGACTTTTTTCAATTTTTGAAAGTAATCCTTCAGCTTAATAGCAAAATAACTAACTAATTTTCCATATCTTTAACATTACCAGCGACACCAAACTTGGCCTTGTTCTTGTCCAACATTGCCAGGCTGCACAGCAAAGAGGCTGATAGTTTGCTGATTTCGGCCGTGCTGGGGGACAGAATTACAGAATTGAGGTAGAAAATAATTTCCATATCTGCTAGCGAGCGTTTCAGATTTGGGTTGAGGGACAGGTTGAAGAGTATAGATAGTGCAAGGATATGGATATTTGGGAATGACGACTTAGATAGTTGGAGAAGTGTAGGGATTGCACCATTGGTTTGTGCCACCAAATCCCTGTTTTGTGGGTTAACCTTTGTGATTGTGGCCAAGGTTCGCAGGGATTTCTGCTGCTTCTCATTTCTGTCAGATTGAGCTTCTGCAAGACATTCAAGAATGGTTTCACGAATTTGAATAGACATTGTTTCAATCTCGGTTGTTTAGGGAAGAGCTGAGCTGAGCTGATGATATCAGGTGAAATATAGGTATGCGGTTTGTCATACCATGTCTGGCTATGCTTAAAAAGTTACAAGTAAATAAGTAATTTTTAAAATCCAAAAAACAAAAGAAGTGTTTTGAGGGTAATAAAGTTTTAAAATAATTCCTTATTTTGACTTAATAATACCTTTTTGAAAAATGTAGCTTAGCCAATCATACTTTTAATAAATGAGTTTGTCCCATTTTAGATTACTATCAGTGTCTCACTACACGTTATACTAATTCGACCTCGACGTGAGAAGAGAAAAACATATAAATTTATCCATCCTCAATAATTTTTAAGTTTTAGACGAAATCATTCGACAATGCCTAAAACAAAGATGACAGATTCACTACAGTAGATGACAAGCTCATCGATGGTCCCAATGTTTACAAAGCTGCGAAGAAAACAAGGACAATTACCTCGAACTATCCGCCCAAAAGATTTGGGCAGAAAAATTCCTTCGTTATCTCACCCCATGCTAACAAAATGTCTCGGCACCTTCTGATTTCTTGATGCAGGAATGGAGAATACGAATAATGGAAACATGCAACATAATACCTTGCCTTTATGCAAAATCATAAAATATGACAATGGAATGATAAAATTCAAATTTCTTTTGATCATAAATACCGTATCTAGAGGACCTTGTTTCAATAAATCAAGAGATAAAACCACAAATGCTTAAAAGGCGAAACTGGGTTATTAAACAAGAGTAAATATGTTTTCTATATGTCCGTCACACGGTCGATAATGGGGTAGGAAGTCCAAATTAGTTGGATGTTCTAAATTTTTTTCCCCGTGTAGCCGGCTTCAAATCCTCTCCATATAATACTGGAAATATAACACAGCTACATAAAATTGTCTCAAGGTTTGAAAATCCAAAATAGTTTGAAAAGGTAATCCAAATCCAGAATGCATGCAACATTATTCGGACATACATATTGAAAACACACCAGCAACCGATAAGCAAACTCCCATATGGCATCTGCATCAGTCATATCAATCACCGAGAGAAGAAATGGTCTACTAGCTAATCACACTCGCTAAATGAGACGCCACTAACAGAACATATTCTTAATCCCGATGCGAGTCAGGAGAGCCATCTCCATAAGAAACTAATCCCGTCTTTCGAGGGGGACTCTCAGAGGATGACCTTGAGTTATCCTTGCTTCCCCGTTTAGGAGATTGTGAACCAAGCGGCGACCGTGATTTAGATGGGCTCGGGCTAACAGAAGGCGACCTTCGCCTTTCAGAACGCGGTGATGGACGATATCTATCCACAGGAGACAGACTGTGAATGGGGCTACGGCTATAACGCCTGTTGCGATATCGTATTGGACTGCGAGATGCACTTGGGCTGCGTGTCCTGCTCCTTCTGCCTCTGTACCTGCAATAGAAGGAAAGAGGAATGGGATTTAGAATAAGGGAGCTGCATGCACGGGAAGACAGAAGAAATAACAAGATTTTCAAGAGATCATGGTTTATGGGCGTATGTATGATAATCTGAGCAAACTACATGTATCTAGACATCATACCCATTCATAGTTCAATATGGTCCAACATAGGCATCATCCCCCACATAGAGGAAATTGCTTCCATTCAAACATAGTTCGTATTACATGTAGATGAGCTCAAATTAGGAAACTTCATCAATAATCAAGATTGGGATCTTACATTTGATTCGAGAACACATCATATCGCATTGAATTTGATGATACCATACTACCACAAAGTTACAGTAAATCAGCAAGTGTTAATATTGCAATGCACTGCACACACAATTACTGACCTCGGAGGAGTTCTTCCTCTAGGCGGGCTCCTGTAACGCCTGGGAGATCTTCTGTAACTTGGATATCTATAAATTTTAAAAGGCAACAATTAAAAAGAACAGTAAATCCAAGAGAGCAGAATAATATGAAACGGAAATATATGACAATGTTTTGCTGATCGTTTAACAAGGATAAGAAACGCATGTTTAATACCTGTCTCGATCATTTCGAGCACCATAACGATATGACCTTACAGGAGAACGGTCTGGGGAGCGACTCCTGTAACGACGTACATAAGAGTATCTATCACTAAAACCCCTCCCTCTTCTGATACGCTTAGGTGAATCATCAGCTGGAGGACTTCTTGATGAGCTCCTACCACGATCGGAAACAGGTGACCTTGCCCTACGCCCAGCACCTACAGGACTTCTTGAATAGCTGCGGCGATTATTCCTGATAGGTGCCCTGGCTGGACTTGGGCTAGGGCCTCTCCGAGGAGGGCCTCTACCAGAGCTCCTGCTGATGCTCCTCCGAGATGATCGAATGGGGCTTCTGCTTGCACTTCTTCGAGGAGGCTTACCAGAGCTCCTGCTTAGACTCCTTCGAGAAGATCTCACAGGACTGCGACTAATTGACCTCAACGATGACCTCCTCGATGAAGCTCTTGGGGGGCTCCGGGTAACTCTTCTTCTGGGAGGAGATGCTGTAGGACTTCTGCTGGGGCTTCGTCGGGATTGAAACCTTGCTGGGGGGCTCACACTAATGCTTTTTCCCTTTCTTCCCCTGACTGGAGTTCTTACTGGGCTCCTGCTGCTTCCGCTTCTAATTGGACTGTCACTTCTACTTCTCTCAGCTACCCGCTGTGGGCTTCTGCTGGCACTTGGACTCCTGCTCATATCGCGTCTTGCACTAATACTTGGACTTCTGCCCTTACTCCTCTTTGGACTAATGCTCATACTCTTACTCATGGTCCTTTTAGGACTTAAGCTTCGGCTCCTGCTCATCAACTTCTAATAAAATACTAAATCTGGAAGAATTGGTAAGAATAAAGAAAACTGAGGTGTGAGAAGATATGAAATATAAACCTAGATTTGCTCAGGCGGTCATCCACTACATCAGGGTGTCTATCTGCACTCTTGTTGGATCTTGTTTCCCCTTGAATACCATTCATTCGGTGCTCTCCATTTTCCCTCGGAAATTCACCCTCCTCTCTTTCAAACATATCAGTTACCTCCCCTTTCCTGTGATGAACAATCGCAATTTCCTGGTTCTCCCGTAGAGGAGATGGATGTACTTCTGTAAATTGCCAAACAAGAAATTGCGTCAATAGAAGCAATATGATTAATATATTAAGTACATACAAATTAGAGCACCATGATCCTACCTGGACTTTTAAGCTTCATATCAGACTCACGAATCTCCACACCATCGTCTTCAGAGCTGCTTCCACTCGTATTCTCACTTTCACTATCTGAAAGACTATCCCTACAGGATTTTTCCATAAGACTAAATTAGCAAAATATGAAAGATGCTGTATCATTTTCTCTCCTGTGTTATTTTGTGGTTAAGTATTAACCAATACAATTCCAGAAGCCTGGTGGCATATTGGAGAAAAAAGACACTTCCAATGCACTGTGATATGATACATACAATACTAGCATGAAATGAAATAGTAGTCAGACACCCCAAGGGTGGGGGGACACTATTGAATGGTAATAAAGAGAAATTAAGATGATACCCCAGCAATCCATGCAATAGCAACAAGTAATTCATAAATCAATAAGATAAGGTTCACACCAGAACACCCACATGAACACATCAAGAACCACAAGTGTGAACATCTTATGTAAATTATGCACAGGGCTGAACTTAATATCTATAGCTGTGAAGAGAACGATAACAGATGGGTACAACAATTAACAGTTGCTGCTACCTTTTTGATCGATGCTTTGTTTTCTTATCACGTCTCTTGCGTCGTTTTTCACGTCGTCTGTCTTTTCTTTTTCTCCGTCTATGTTTATCTCTCTTAGATCTCTTCCTCTTCCTACGTCTGTCATCACTTGAAGAGCTACTATCACTCAATGAGGAAGCAAACGAATCAGACTCACTATCAGATTCTGAAGACTCTGTATCTGTATCAGAAGAACTATCTGATTCTGATGTGTAATATCTTCTCCTTTTCCTTCTCTCCTTGGAAGATTTCTTGTGCTTGCCTTTGCGCCGTACTTCGTTGCCATCACTGTCAATAGAATCCTTGCCCAATTTCAACTTTCTCCCTTTCTTTTTGACTGCATAACCAGACAAGAAAACCATGGGAAAAAATAAACCAACAAGTGAAAGAAGCAAAACAACTCACTACACAATTCAGAGACCACAAGGAAAAATACTGTAACATACCACACCGCTAGCCCATATCATCACTCTTAATATCAGTTACTTTGTAATTTTATCACCATAAATTGAAAATTACAGGATGAATATATCAACATTAGTTTGGTATGGATTCTTACCATCATGTAATTCACCAGAATTGATTATCTTCACAGTCACAGCTGGTCTACCATCTTCATCACCTGCACCTTCAATCTTTTTTAACACTTCATACCCATCCACAAGTTTCCCAAAGACAACAGATTTCCTGTTGAGCAGAAGCCACCAACCAATCAAGAGGGATGCAATGAATAACATTTTCCAAGTCCCATGAGTAATAGATACCATTACTTCCTTTTAGATACCGTTACTTCCTCTACAAGATGTTTGGGCATACTACTGGGTCTATTCCATCTTAGTGTCCTCCCGCTTTCTGCCTTAAAATTTTTGTCCCTATGTAGATACTATTGAGAGACATTCTAAACAAAAATTTAGACACCAATTTGTGATGAAAGGCATAGCTTCCATCAATTGGTTATTTTAGATGTATTAAACCATACTTTCAGACATAGAAACATATGCAGAATCTATGAGTTCTGTGAAATTACAGTGCTCAAAGAAAGTACTAGATAAGGATATATCTGAAAAATGGACATAATCAAAATGAATTCCAACAAAACCAAGACAATCAATTTGTAATATTAAACTTTTCTATGACAACAACAGGAGATGATTTTCCAATTTAGAAGTTTTAGCAAGCACTCAATACAGGTTGATAGAAGCCCCATTAGACCATGAAAGCTGAAACAGACCTATCAAGATGGTGATCAGCCTTAAAGGTGATGCTGAAGAGCGATCCACGTTCATCTCTATCCGCAATTGCCATAGACAGAAGACCAGGGCAGTCATGTTTCAGCTTCGGA